CGGGGCTTCAGGATGCTGAACACTGAGCTATGCATGTCGCCATGCAGCGGGATGTTCACTTTTGCTGCTGGATTCTGAATTTAGCCTACTAACGCTACAACGGGACTCTTCGTCTCTTCCCTGGAGCCAACACGAGCGGATAACCAGCTGGAGAACCAATCATTACTATAATTATCATTATTGCAATCTTCAGTTTTTGGCAAAAAACAACATCACCACCTTCTGGTCCATGAGACGTACAAACAGGACTTTCACCCAAGAGACAGCTGTTTGTGTCCCATATGACAAGTCAACATTGAGGTTTTTTTTTTACCTTACTTTAGTTTTAAGGACTTAGCTAACGCCAGTTACCTAACAAATTTAGTTATTTTACGTAGTTATTTTTTTCGTAAGCTTAACCAAGTACTTTGTTGCATAAGTAAGCCTCAATTCGTCAAGTAACTTGATTACTAACAATCATCAATGTAAAAATCGTAGGAATAAAGCTTTGTTCAATCCTCCCCGCGCCCGGTGTTGGTGTGGACGGGGGCGGTGGCTTGTAGTGGCGCTGTCAATGGAGCGCAGGTTGATAGCTGTTGATAGCTGTTGATAGCGATCCCAAAACAGTTATTCGTTTGGATAAATGTAATTTGTGGATTGGATTTTGAATTCAAACACATCATCAGTTCGATCAGTTAAAGCTACAGTACCTTTACAGGAGTAGCCCATAAGACGTGTACCTCTGTTAAAGTCATTTTTTTTCTTTATTTGTATGAATTTTAGAAAATGTTTTATTTAAAACCCAGAATGTAATTAAATGCACTAAATGGGTTTAGTTTTGACAGACAATATTAATGAATGCAATTTGAGACCTGACTTTTTTTTCTTCTTTGTATATTTACTTTTGCTCTTTAATAATAAAGCCAAAGTATTTACTGTCCGATTAATCAATGGAGGTATCGGTAGAATAGTCGATTACCGTAATAATCAAAAACTGCAGCCCGAGCGGAAACTGTACGTTTCCTGTGGACACGACAAACTGAAATGCCGTCCCTGACAGGTCCAAGACCGACGCTAGGGGCTCCTAGAGCGTCATATAGTTTGAGGCACGTGGCCACTGACTGAGCCTCTCGACGAGTTGAGAGTGAGAATGTGTTGGATGAGCGTAAAGACTTCAAAGTCAACAGACAGATGTTTTCACTTGGTTTCCCTGATAGTCTTACAACATAAAGTCTGTGGGTTTGAACCCGGCCGGGCCTTACATACTTTACATGTTCTCCCACGTTAAGTGAGAGGGCAACTCTAAATCTTCGACGTGAATGTGGTTTTCCGTCTAAACGCTTGTTGGCCCGAACATGGACTGTCATCAAACTTCTCTCGAAGTGCAGACTGGGATACTCCAGCAGCTTGGCCCTGAACAGTATAAGTAGTAGAACCAAATAAGGGATTGGGGGGGGGGGGGGGGTGGTTTCCCTTCATATTTAAGACAATATGAAAAAGGTGCCAGGACATCGTCAGGACATGTACAACGAGAAGCATAATGGACACAGATAACTGCAGTAATATTTGTAACCTGATTTATTGTTTACTCTAATATTGCATAAGGATAATAGATGTATGCAGAGGTTATACCCAACATGCTATGAAGTCTGCTGAATGTAGAAAAGAAAGTTTAGTAAATTGTGCCCTCTGGTGGGAATTGAGAGGAAGGAGAACAATGGACAGAAGTACATGAGTATTACCAGCAAAATGTACCAAGACATCATTAGTACTCATTGTTAAAGAGGGACAAGTGTCATAGTGTTATACAAGTTATACTGCATTATTGATATTCAGGGTTTAAGGGAGATTTTAATGCTGTAGCTATTTTGACTACTTTATCTAGTGCTAATTCATGCAATGCATCATATTTCAAAGGCAGAGCTTGTGATTTGTATTAGAAAATTTGAATCTGCAAAGAATATAACTGTCAAACAAATGTATAAAAATTATAATATTTTCTTCTGAAAGTACGACAATATACAGTTTTACCTAAAAACTGTAAGTACTTTACATGTACTTATTTGTTTTCCACCAAGTCATTTTAGGGCAGCAACAAATAATTACTTTCATTATGAACAGATCTGTTTAATGTTTTTTCGATCTACTGCTTAATGATCTCTTAGATAAAATGTCAGAAATGTGGAAATCCTCTCATTTGAGAGGCTGGAAACAGCGAATATTTTGCATTTTTGCTTGATAAAAGACTTCATTTACTATCATAATTGTTGTTGATTAAACAAACCATTAGCATTTCATATCAGAACCCGTGTCATTTGTTTATTGTTTATTGTATCTTTTTGGATGTATTTTAAAGTTTTAACTGTTGTTTCAATCTTTTTCTTTCATTTACAGTTGTACGTCTAAAGTCGCCTAATTTCAGCTGTATTTTGTGTATGAAAGGTACAATATAAATTAAAATCATTGCAATTATGTTACGTCATCAGGCAGTTGTAAAAGATAAATCAGTGAGGTCAGTCTGCACAAACCAATGTTGTGTAGCTAAACACTGATCCAACCGCCAGACGTTTATTTTCCGATCAAGATGACAAAGTTTCAGTTTTCATCTGTCAGGTTCAATTTTGGGGAAATATGTCTAAAATAATAGCAGGACATCCTCAATATTTTTCATTTGATGGAATAATGCATGTCTTTGGTCTGGGGTTTGAATGTTTAATTCATGGTAATCATAATAGCTTCAATGAAGAGCAGGAACAAACTGTTAGATATATGTGTGTGTGTGTGTGTGTGTTTGTATTCCATTTACCGTCTTTTATTCTTTACATGTGTATGTTTTAGCAGAGCATTTGTAGCCTACCATGTATCTTTTTGCCAACCATGAACCAATAGCTTTCCCTTAGAAGAAAAAGAAAAGTTCTTGGTTTACTCAAAACTGAGGGCTCGTCCGGGATTTGAACCCGGGACCTCTCGCACCCTAAGCGAGAATCATACCCCTAGACCAACGAGCCAGATGGTGCAGAAGAGCACATGTTGCAAATTTGTAGACAATTTGTTTCTATTACAAGTAACACCGGTAGCCTACCGTGCAGGTAGATCATGACGATCTACGAGACGTCCAAACTGTCTGTGAAGTACAGACCACATTGAAACAGCGATATTCCAATAGTTTGTTCACATTTCAAAGAAATAAAGGATCGCTTCAAACGTAACATTTACCAAGCATATAAAACATGTTTCAGCAGACTTACGCTTCGTGTTTTGTGTTTTGTTTTTCTCTTAAAAAACAGAAAAAAATTGACCTGGTAAATGTGTATGTGTTCCTCCTCGTGAGAAGAGGTGGAAGAGTCCATTATTTCTGGAACGTTGACGTTGTTGTGACTTCGCTTAACAACCGCCAGAGGTCGACATATGCTGTGAGGAAGAGGCTGAGGCAAGAGGTGTCACTCCCAGCTACTTCCGCTTTCGTTTAACTCCTGTTGGCAGACGTGTCTCTCTCTCTTACGGTTTCTCAGTTTAGAAAATTTAATTTTTTTTCGAAACAAATAATTGTTTTACCATTTTATTTTACTGGTATTGTGCTTATTCTGTTTTGTTCTTTTTATTTTATTTCAAGGATTATTTTAACCAGGCCTATTGTCTTTTTGCTTGTGTCTGTGAAACACTGTGAAAAGAGTGTAGCCATGAACATACTTCTGTGTATTTTTTTCATCCCCCAAACCAATTTAAAATAAGAAATAGGTTGAACCAAACTACAGTACATTTTTCTGAAGTTGTCACTTTCCGTATGTGGATTGCCATTCATTTTTACAATTGTTTGTGTGAGTCACTACCACAGTAAATAAAAAGGCCCAGCATTATTTGTAATTATTTAAATGCACATCATGGAGGGGAACCAGTCAGCCACTAAGGATTAAGCGTTTGTTGAGGCTGATCCCTTTAGTGTACTGATTGATCCATTAATCTTTGGATCTTTTTCTCATGGTGCAAAAAAAATTGACATTGAGCAACCAGCCATGTCGACATTAATTTCACCGTAGTTCAGTTTTTGAACTGTAATGAATTGCATTTTTTTTTTGTTACACTACATGTGCTGGTATTTATATGTCGATGCTTGTGGATTGGTCTACGTAATGGTTTTGCATATAAATGAATGTATTTAGTGTCTGCCAATTGTTCTGTGTGTATGCCCAGGGACTGCAGATGGAAATTAGCATATAAATCAGGCATGAATCATATCTTCTCATTTTGAGATTAATGTTTTTTTTGTGGATGGTCTTACTACTACTACTACTACTAGTACTAATACTAATAATGATAATGATAATAAACCCACATTTTAGGGTTTATAGATCAGTGGGACCAGAATGCAGGCAGCAGGGCAGGTCTGCCACCTGATGGCTGAGAAGCAGGGGTTAGGAACTGATGCCATAGCCATTGATTCCTGGTGTCAGTAGGGCACATTCCCGATTGCTGTTCCATAAACTAGCTGCTCTAGTTGGCTCTCCTGCTGCCAGAAGACATTTTATTGGAACATGTGGGAGAAGATTTCCTACACGGAAACCAGAGCTGCGTGATGGTGGTTACTGAGACAATCCATCGGACATTGTCTCAAATGTTTATTTTGCAATAGTAGTACTTTTTGGTAGAAAAAATAAAGAAGGATGTCTGAAACCACAGCAAGAGAGAATGTACACAGACAGTTATCAGTTTTGCAACCCAGTGTGTGAATTGAGTGATTCATCAGCTGAATAGTAAATCTTAGATTTTAAAAGTGGAATCAACAGTTTCCATTCTCACTCACTTTAGTGACTCAATTTAATGGCCTTTATTTTTTTTCTCCATTCAGTTTGAAACAGCATTGTCCCTCTGTGTGTGTGTGTGTGTGTGTGTGTGTGTGTGTGTGTGTGTGTGTGTAAAGGTAAGACACTGAGTTTGTGAGCATCACTGTCTTGTTGAAACTACAAGTAAAAACTGCTTTCAAGGATGCAAAGAATACACATTTTTTATTGTCAAGAAGCGGCATCAGACTCAAAAAATTAAAAGTTCAACATGAAAGCAAGTTGAAGACAACAGAGTAATATCCAAACACCACAGAACTTCTGCTTTGACACTTTACTGACAAGGTACTATGTAGCCCAAAGAATTTACCAAAACATATTTAAAAAAAAGACAAACAACATAGTTTTATGTATAGAAAAATGTATTACTTTGACCACCGAGCCTTGAGACCCGTCGGGCTTGGTTGCTAGGTGACAGGACTTGTTTTGCCAATCTTCTACACATATAAATTTGCATGAACTCCGGCGGACGACGACCCCAGAGGCTCTCAATCGATGTGCTTGTGCGTCTAGCAGATGGCAGGCCTCAGTCCAGACACCCAAAGCAGGAGGGGTTGGCACATATTTCACAAGGATCCAAAGACGTGATGATTGACACTGGAAAGAAAAATATATCAACATCGATATTCATCTGACCTAAAATGTGCTTTTTGTACCACCCAAGGGCCAGCTTTTTAAGTCCAATGAAATGCTGCTAATATTGATGATGAGATCCGTGTGCAGTCTGTGTCTGATGAGCTCTAATGGCCCCCCAAGACTATTTGAACAGCCTGTCGTCGGCCTCTTGTCGGGCGTTATCATTCCAGAGCCACTTTATGATGCACCAGTTGCAGGATGTGCATAATACCATGTGTGAACAGTGAAACCGAGGAATCCATGCAAGCGAACTAGTGGAAGCCTGCGCCTGCCGTCAGTGTCTGTAGTCTCAAGTCTGAGAGCGAGCGTGTGTCTGAGTAACACAGCTGTTGATTAAACAGGGTTTCTGAGCACAAGTTTGAGATTGTTTACTGGATGATTTTTACTAACTCTATTGCGAACCCAACAGCCACATCATGAGAAGGTCAGAGCGACTGTCGTATTACAAAGATCCACATAGTCCACACCAGACAGAGGGCGGGGGGGCGGTCAAACAAACACTGGACTGTCGTCAAGGAGGCTGCTGTTAGTGTCCCATGCGAAACGAAAAGTAAATGTTGTCATTCTGTCACGTCGGCCGTTAGTCGTGTGACACGCTAGTCAAGTTAACGTCAGCTACGCTCTTTCGCTGAACCTAACTAGTTTTGGTGCCTTAACCTAACTTCCTGTGAAGCGGAGGGGCACGTAGAGCGTCACGGTTTGAAGTTGGGAGTGACAGTGTGTTGACTGAGCAGGTAGCCCAGTGGAGCAGTTTGGTTAGTAAAGAAATATTTTGGGAAGTATGCTTATTTGCTTTCTTGATGACTTTTATGCTGCTTTTCAGGCAACTTGGAGGTCGAGGATTTTCTCAGTTGAAATTTCCAAGTTCCGACCTCCAAGTGTTCCGAGTGAAACACACCCAATGTAACCAGAAACCACCATGACAAACACATGTTTATTTATTAACTCTCAGCAGTGCAACCTCCATCGGCCTTTTTACTGTTTTCCTAAATAACTTTTAGAGGCTGTTTACCGTAACCAGCTAGTTATTAATTACGTTGGCGACAGATTCTGACATCGATCTACATGCAGAACAGGTTCACCATATGATAGTATGCATTATGTAATTAAATAGAAGCAAATGCTGCCTTTAAGTTGATGGTGTACCATTTACAATGTCAGCTTCAATTGTTATGTGACTTCTAGTTTAGGAACTCCAACTTTGAGGCTAACAGGCTCACAGTTTCCAGTCTACATGCTAAGCCAAGCTAACCAGCTCCTACAGTCGATGCAGCCTCTTAGTTAGAGGAAATGTTTGGTGATATTATATTATTATTATTATTGTCAGCAAATCCCATTAAAAAACAAAACTGAAAAATAATTGACAAGTATTGTAAGTCAGATATAGCTGATTCCTCTCTGCCATATAGCTCCAATGGTTTCCAAAATCTATTAAGAAAAACAAATCAATGACCTTGGTGATATGTTCCTTCAATATAATGGCTGCTATTATTTAAAATCGATAACACACGTTGTCTTTGTGTCGTAAAAAGTCTGTATTACACCAAATGTGTATTATGTCAAAGTGAACCTGATGTCCTACACACATCTTTCATTATGTTGTTTGTTTGTTTGGCTCAGCCTTACCTAGTTTGGAGAACACCACGCCTGCTCCTTTCCCTTGACACACTGGCCGAAAGACCTGCGGCAGGACGGGGTTAGTGCAAACGGCTACAACGCTCGTCTTGGCGAGGTGAGGGCTAACGCTGCTGTCTAAATCCATCAGCTCCTCCAGCTGCTTCACTGCCTTCAAGGGGAAGCTCCTGTCTCCAACCTGGTGGGTGAGAAAGAGAGTGTGTGGAGTCTTGTCATGGGAATGTAGAGAGGACTGGATAGTAAAAGAAAACATGACTAGACAGAATATCTGGTGTTAAGATGGAGTTCTATGAGGTAAAACACATCCTCAGATCAGCCCGGCAACATTTTTCCAACATTCAAAAAAGGTCCCCTTGGGGTCAACTACTGCTATTCCTAAGATGCATTTAGAAAATACTAAAAACAACAGAGTGAAAAGACAGAGAAACAGGAAAAAAAATTGTCAACAGCATTTCAAAGAACAAGTGATACTCACTTTAACCTGCACACCCAGAGCTCCTCTGCACACACACAGCAGCACAACAAGGACGACGCTGAGCACTCTCATTTTCAGATGATGCAAGGCGCCTCTCAGTGTAGAGGAGAGTTTCTTCTGTGGTCGCTGTGCGTCGGCTCTGCCTCTTATAAAGGCGTCAGGACAGGTTAGTGAGTGATTTATTAACACAAACAACTGGCAGGGTGAGGTTAGTAAAGGTAGGGGGGGGGGAGAACTTACCAGACAAAGATAAACCAAAGGTTTGCGCACTGCAAGCACTTTGGATCCTCTTTTTTAGTTTATAACCACTATCCTCTAAATTTGTTTATAACCTCTATTTCTGGCGATTACTCCGTCAGCGCAATATGTTGCTATTGACTTTGGGTGTCACACTAACGCATACGATGCCTCAGGGCCACCTAATAAATCTCACCCCTTGTCTCTCTCCCACAGATATTTGTCACAGAGCTGTCTGATAAGGAAGCAGCCATATATGTACAAAGCTGTCCCATCGAGGTCACTTGTTTGCATGGCTGTGATAGTTGCAAATTAGGACGCTTTCAAGAAACAAATGGCATTTTTATGTGTCGGGAAAAACACACCTTAATGCAAACATTTAATAAACCCGTGAAATGCTCAAACAGTCAGTATCACCAATTCAAATGATATCACACACTGACTCCCTTATTCCAAATGTTTGAAATGAACGAATTAAGGAGTTAGATGTTTCGGTTAACTTTGGTGAGAAGGAGCTGCCCTTTACCTCAGTCGGACAACAGATAAGAGCCAAACGTGTGACGTCATTGTGAGTCACAGTCTGTATCATCACTCTGTGAACTCAGAGACTCTGTTTTACTCTGCTGAGATAAAAGAGGAAGTCAAGGCTTCCGATTCCTTGTGTATTTATTGTTTTTATAGCTTTGAGACAGACTTTGCTTGTTTCGTATTTTGGGCCAAACTGTCTGCAACTAGCTCAAGAGACAGGAGATGAAATGAACCGTTATGGCAATGGATGACATAAAAGAAAAAAAGCATGCAAAGATCCACTGGACCACCAAAATATGAATAAATAACCTATATAATATCTGACCTTTAACTTTCAAGTATATTTTGGGACTTGTTGGATCACAATACTCTCTATATGATAAAGAAATGTCCCTCACTGTCACGCACACACACACACACAAACAATGGCTGTTAATGAAAACCTATGAAGTAACTAGTAAGTATTATTTTGAAAAGCCATAAAGACTAAAATATTTCTATTGATTACACATTATATAACTCTTATGAAGGTTCAAGAGGACATTTAAATACATAATGAGAAGCTTTTAGTTCATATATATTTATGTTGCTTCTGGGAAAAATCATGATAAGTATTGAGTGGTAACATGTTGAAGATACTGAACTGGTGAAATACTGGAAATTGTTAAAATAGAGAATGGAAGCACTATCTGGACCATTACAACTCCCAAACTAGACAAGTCAAGGATGTGCAGGACATAAATTAAATTCTTAAATTGTTAATAATGGAAAGATCCAGTGTAGTTTGTGACACAATTTAGTGAAATAAAAGTAGATTTTTTGCTTCTGAAGTAACAAGGTGAAAGACAATCTGCACAGTATGTCTTCATAAAGAATAATAAAATGATATATTTTTTTTAAATGGGATGTGCATGGAATATTAGTTGAAGCTCACTGATGCTTTAAGAGAAACATTACTTAATGAATCTGAATCTGAGATTGTTTTTAAACCTCATGTGAGTGCTTCCCTACTTGTTTGTTATTTTTTATTCTATTTATTTATTTAACTGAGCATGCCTATTCTTTCACAGCAACGCCCTTTAAACAGTTCAGTCAGAAAAACCCCCCAAAACTGATGTAAACACAGAGTTGGAGTACAGGCTCTGTGCTCGCGGTGCACTCACTGGTTACTGTGTGCATTAGTGTTCGGATGGCAGATATGGTCAACAAGGGCTTTGTAGATAAATAGTACCAGCGGTTATTATGTTGCTCAGACAGGAGAGGCAAACCAACTGCACCATATGCAGTAATGTCTGGTGGATATTATTATTATTATCACCTGCAATGAGCGAGAGACTCAGAGGCAGTGGAATGTCGATACTGTGACATCACCATCATCCAGAACTGAGAGAAAACCAATCGTCTTTCAACAGCTCAGGGAAGCTGCTTCTGTTGTTATACGACCCCACAAAAATACATTTTCAACAAGCCTCTGGAAGGTCTATATTTTCTCTGTATCTGAATCAATTTGTTTAATTGCTCATATGTATGTGTGTGTGGGTATATATAAATACAATTTCTATCTCCTCACATGTCTACATTATATTTTAAATCCTTCTTTTTACTTCCAAGAGGAAGGATACTGCCTCACTTTATTTAATGTCTGTTTAATTGAATGTCATTTTTTTCTATTGCCTTAAACTGGTCAAATACATTTTAATTCTAATTGTTCACAGTCAGAGTATCAACAGTTTTTTTTCCATCCGGTCAGAGAAAGTGACATAGTATATTGAGCTGCTGTTATTTAATATTACGTGTTATTATCACATTATTGAAAGTTGTAATAATAACATAAGAAGCAAGAAAGTCAACTCACTGCTTTCAACCAGCAGACAGCTGTTTGTGTGTGAAACCAAAACATTTACGGTTGCAACGTAACGTTGTTATGCTTGTTGCATGAGAAAGTTGTGCATTCACACTATAGTTGTGTTGTTACGTTATGATTTGAACAAAAGCCATATTTCTTATCATCTTAACCAAGTAGTTTTGTTGCATAGAATTGTTTCACAATGTTAATCCCGTGGCATTGTGTGTTTTGCAAGCATGATGAGGCTGATATGAAATATATTTATGAAACGTAGCTTTGATTCAGATACGTCAACATTTAACGCATCCCCTTGTTCGCACAAAGGTATAATTCCAACATTTCTTTACATTTTATTTCCCATTTAAATCAACAAAAAGTACCAGAATTGACCTTGTAGGCATTGCTGCACATACATACTGCACTATATAGCAAGTTCTGTAGCATACATCATCACGTACATTCGTATCCCTCAGATATGCACACTCAGAATTACATTTATGAGTATACCCTCATAAGGCTGTGAGAATATTGCAGGTGTCAGAGAATCCACTATGCCTAGTACACCTGTATTGTGAGCTAGTTTGGCTGAGTCAGATTAGATGCACAGAATAAATTATTCACCATATAGAACATGGACATAATAGATATGAGGCTGACGTGAAGGCAAGAAGGCTTGAATGCAAATGAACACAGCACATTTACACAGCCATTTCTGGCAAACAAACTCTGATGTAACTGCCGACTGTAGCAACACACCAAAGAGAGAAAAAACTAGCGACCGAGGAGCTTATAAGGAAAGTTGAGCATCTACTATACGTTTTCCAGGAGGAGACCAAAATGGAGCTAAAAGGCCAGTAAATATTGACTTTACATTTGCCAGGTGTCCACAGACTCGACTCCAAATGAAGGCCAGTGTTGCTCTGTGTTTGCTGGATGTGTTAAAATGAACATTATAAGCTATAAAGGTCAGATGGTTGTGACTTTGTGTCTGTCAGCTTTGGTTCATTTCAGCCCCCTATTGGCCAAAATAGCAGCTTTAAGTATATTTTTGAAAACAAAACGTTTTTGTTTTTTTTTACAAATGGCAATAAAATGCAAATAGTAATAATGATAGTAATAGTGTGTTTGAATATGCAGGAAACAGCACAATGTACAGATTGATATATCAATGAAAGCTTTTTATTCAAAACAATGGTAATAAAAAAGAAGAAACATGAGGAAAAAAGAAACTTCTATTTTAAATATGTGTACGGTACAAAGCTTGGTAAGATAGAAATGTAACAAACAGTGTCAATTCCAAAATTATAATGTATGGTAACAAATTAACAGTTTACAAAACAACATACCTCAGTTTGTCTGATTTGTGTTTGGGGTAGTTTTATGTCTAACGGCAACTTTAAAATGTATAAAGTACCCAATGGGCCAGAGTCAGAGCCTCTGTGTTCAGGGAACATAAAGTCATCATCTCAACATTGCAGGCAAACATTTGAGAAAGTCCCTGATATAGTTTTGAGGGGGGAGGAGAAGAATCACAAGTCTTAAGCTGGGCAAGATGTTTCTGGCTGCATTTGTTTAGCAGCCAGTGCAGGCAGCAAAGGCGCAGATCTCACAGACGTCCATGGGAACCAAAGCTGAAATAAAGACACAAAGAGAAAGACTCTGTTGAATCACCTGTACTTCGATGAGCATGGATCGACGCACTTAAAAACTGCATCACAAAGCCTCGCTGCTCCATATATAACGGTCTCACCTAGTCTGCCGAGGGACGCGGATGCTGCCCTCTGCCTACAGAGGGGCAGGAGCTCCTGTGGCAGCATGGGGTCGGCACAGACGGACGCAGAGCTCGCCCTGAGTCGTGGGCTTTGTTGTCCTGTCACGTCGCTGCTCTCCATCAGCTCCTGGAGCCTCTTGACGGCTGCCAGAGACAAAGTCAATCCGTTCTCCTTGGAAAAAAAAAAGGCAGATGTTGCCATTAAAGTGCTGCAATCAAACCCAAAGGCCCAGTTTGCTAAATATGCAAATAATGAAGTCAACAGTGTGGTTTGTAATCATCCACGAGAGTACAGAATGCAGTCTGCATGAACAATGCCATTGTCAAGGCCAGTCAGTCACACAGAAATGTCAACACTCACTTCAACCTGCACAGCCTCAGAGGTGCAGCCGAGAGCCAGGATGAGGACAGCGATGGTGGCGAGAGCAGCCTTCATGGTGACAGTCGACAGCGGTTTTGTCTTGCAGCGTCTTTGTTTGTCTTGTGATGTTGCTCAGCAGGTGCTCAGCTCAGTGTCTGCTCTCTCTCCGTCCACACGCTGCCTTTTAAACGGTTCTGGCCCCGCAGCTCGGCGGTGATGTGACCAAATGGGAGAAAGATTTTTCTCACGGGTTAATTAGTAGTGATAGGGATTTACAGGGCTCTAAAAGAGGAACTCATAAATCAGTCTTTGGCCTCATCAGAATATTGTTATGGATGTTTTACTCTGCAGAATTGATCACAACTCTGGTTGGTTAAACAGTTACCATTTGCTCCATTGATGACGATGAAGCCACACCAGCCCATTGTTAGACAGTCCTGTTACTCACATCCATGCAAATGATTGAACTTTGTGTCATGTCTGACAGACCTGTGGATCATTTGGGATTTTGTTTATTTGCACATATACAAAAAATACTTTTAAAGATTTTATATATTGTGACATTATACACAGCATTAGAGGTTAGAAGCCGAAGATGGCTTATGAAGACATTCCCCATTAGATATCAGTAGTCATACTTGACCGGAGGGTAAAAGGATGAAAAGATACACAAAACGTTTGCTAATTCAAGTCCTTTTCAGATGTTTTTTTTAATAACGACAATGCAGATTTGGATTGCAGTGATGGAAGCAGGTTGTTCCAAAGAGACAGTCCTCTGTATTTCAATGCATATAGAAATATCATGTCATATTCAAAAGTTCTTTCTTTTGAATATGTACAGTATACTACAGAAAATATATGCTGTTACATTTTATACTGTTTTGCCTAACTTACATTCTGAGTAAGGAAACTAGGCTGAAACTATTAAATATAAATGCAAATATAATTGTATCCCGTGTGAGTGGGCGGCAGAGATCTCATTAGCTCGTAGTCTGCCATATTCAGATGGTATTTACTGAAAACTGGTGGATGAGTTGACAGTTATTTCTGCCTCTGCTGCAGAATACATAAAGTTCATCTTATTTATTTATTAAGCCCTCGAGTCTGTCCAGATCTGAATTAATAATCGGGGACACTTGCAAGACATTGGTATGCTACCTTTGTGCTTTAAGGCCAACAAGACACTGGCTGTGTAGAAAAAGCTGTCAGGAAACTGGGCTAGGAAAGAAGTTTGTAGATCACAAACAACACAATTACCAATAGATACATTCCCCTCAATGCTAAAGAGTTGTCCTTTTAGCAAAAAAAGCTTCAGTTATGAGGTCGATAACACTGCAGAAATTAAAACTATGACCCTCCAGTAATGAAAGGACTAGCTAAACGCTATACCTCTCAAGGTCAGAGGGAGGCTGCGAAAATAATCAATTCCATCCATCCATTTTCCACCGCTTATCCGGGGTCGGGTCGCGGTGGCAGCAGGTCAAGCAGGCCGACCCAGACCTCCCTCTCACCGGCAACATGTTCCAGCTCATTCTGGGGGATCCCGAGGTGTTCCCAGGCCAGGTGGGAGATGTAATCTCTCCAGCGTGTTCTGGGTCTTCCCCGGGGTCTCTTCCCAGTTGGACGTGCCTGGAAAACCTCCAGTGGGAGGCGTCCAGGAGGCATCCTAATTAGATGCCCGAGCCACCTCAGCTGACTCCTTTCGACGCGAAGGAGTAGCGGCTCTACTCCAAGCTCCCTCCTGATGACCGAGCTCCTTACCCTATCTCGAAGGCTGAGCCCGGCCACCCTACGGAGGAAACTCATTTCGGCCGCTTGTAGCCGCGACCTTGTCCTTTCAGTCACGACCCAGAGTTCGTGACCATAGGTGAGGGTAGGAACGTAGACCGAGTGGTAAATTGAGAGCTTTGCCTTCTGGCTCAGCTCCCTCTTCACCAAGACGGTCCGGTGCAGCGCCTGCTTTACTGCTGCAGCCGCACCGATCCGTCTGTCAATCTCCCGCTCCATCTTACCCTCACTCGTGAACAAGACCCCGAGATACTTGAACTCCTTCGCTTGAGGTAGGCACTCCGTCCCCACCTGGAGGGAGCAATCCACCAGTTTCCGGCAGAGAACCATGGCCTCAGAGTTGGAGGTGCTAACTCTCATCCCCGCCGCTTCACACTTGGCTGCAAACCGCCCCAGTGAATGCTGGAGGTCACGATCCGAGGAGGCTAACAGGACCACATCATCTGCAAACAGCAGAGAGGCGATCCCGAGACCCCCGAACCTGACGTTCTCCACCCCCCGGCTGCGCCTAGATATCCTGTCCATGAAAATCACGAACAGGACCGGAGACAAAGGGCAGCCCTGGCGGAGGCCAACACCCACCGGGAACGTGTCTGACTTATTGCCGAGAATGCGGACACAGCTCCTACTGCAGTCGTACAGAGACCGGATCGCCCGTTGTAACGGGTCCGGCACCCCATACTCCCACAGCACCCCCCACAAGACCCCCCGAGGGACCTGGTCGAAAGCCTTCTCCAAGTCCACAAAGCACATGTAGACTGGTTGGGCAAACTCCCAGAACCCCTCCAGTAGTCTTGCGAGGGTAAAGAGCTGGTCCACTGTTCCACGGCCGGGACGGAATCCGCATTGCTCCTCTTGAATCTGAGGTTCGACAAGCGGTCGGAGCCTCCTTTCCAGCACCCTGGCATAAGCCTTCCCCGGGAGGCTGAGTAGTGTGATACCCCGGTAATTCGAGCACACTCTCCGGTCCCCCTTTTTGAAGATGGGAACCACCACCCCGGTCTGCCATTCCATGGGCACTGATCCCGACCCCCATGCGACATTGAAGAGGCGTGTCAGCCAGGACAGCCCAACCATGTCCAGCGCCTTCAGCATCTCAGGGCGGATCTCATCCACCCCCGGCGCCTTGCCACCAAGGAGCTTTTTAACTACCTCAGCGACTTCTGCCAGGGATATGGGTGAGCCTCCACCTAGGTCCTCAGGCGCTGCCTCCTCTGCAGAGGACATGTTGGTCGGGTTTAGGAGTTCCTCAAAGTGCTCTTTCCACCGCCCCAGGGTAAATATGAAGCTGCAGACAGCAGCTGGTTAGCTTAGCTTAGCATAAAGACTGGAAACTGGGGAATATAAAAACACTTCACATACAACATTAATGAGTGTTTGAGGGGCTGGTAGCCATATTTTGCTACCTTTGGGCAGAGAGACTAGCTGCTTCACCTAGCCTTTATGCTAAGCTAACCAGCCGCTGGCTGTAGTTTTGTGTAAATCATACAGACATGAGAGTGGTAATTATTTTCTCACATAACCTTCGGGAAGATAGCAAACAAAGCATATATTCTACAATGTGGAACTATTCCTTTATAAACATATTGCCTTATGAAAATTGACATTTAGGAGGTACAAAATTAAATCTGAGTTATTGCATGAGCCTTTGAATCCCTAAACGTCAAGCACATAAAAGTGAGTTATATGAAATTACTCAGGTGCCACAACCTATTGTGACCTCTTCTTATCTGAGGTTTGTAAAACAGACACTTGACTGTCACGTCTAGAGCTGTAAACTGAGCAAATCATCCGTGTCAAACACGTTATGTAACAGCACGGCAAATAAAGAGATAATGAGCTGTTCTCAAACAGCAAATATACACTGAAATGTCAAAACACCAGAAATGAAAATGAAGTTAACTTTTGGCTGGATTCTAGAAACAGAAATGTCAGAATAGTTTTGTGACTAGTTCGACAAGACAAAAACTCCTCCTCATCCTTTTATCCTAACGATCTTTAAGTGGTGTTGATTTCACAGAATTCAGCTGATCGGGAAAAAGCACGAGGACCAGCTCCCGCACATTTAACACAGAAATACTTACATTGAGAGACAAATCTCACACCAGCACTTTCTCAATGAAAGAAATGCCCCTTCAATCATAATTGAATTGCCTCATCAATGATAAACAAATGCCTCTTCGATAACAAGGAAATGTGTACAAATATAACCTGCAGGTGGATATCGTTAGGCAAGGACAAACTCTTGCAGAAATTGTACTAAGATCTGCCCTGATGCAGGTAATCTTGTGGAAGGGTGTTCGTTAATATTCACTGCAGCTATAGGTTTCAGAGTGCTCAAAATAACCCTCAATCAGAAAAGCAAACGACGACAAAGAAATCTCAAAAGGTGCTAAAGACCTGTGCTTCTAGCTGCCGCTATCTGTTGAGATGAGGTCTGCATAAGACCCAGAAGGCAATAAGCCCTAAAGCCCTAAAGAAAGGGTGTCTTCACACCCTGATTGGTCAAGAGGGGAAAAGCACAAAGCTGCTCTCAATTCTTAATTAGGAGCCAGACTCTAGACACCCTGCACAATAGGTGATCTGAATAACCCTCCAGTCAACAGCTAAAATCAATGGGCCCTTTTGAATTGAATAAATTATATATTGTCTCATTCAATGTTGTGTGCCACAGCCATACCAGTGCGCCAGCATGCACACCACCAGGGCCCTGGCCAACCTAAATTTGCACAGGGCCATAATTAAACCTGTGTTTTCCCTGCAATGACACGTACATGTGGCTGCTGTGAAAAGGGACACGACAGCAAGTACCAAAGGCTGCTACATACATCTGATGTTAAACACTAATATCTTGTAATTTTCCGTGTTATTGTTTACTGCTTATCACCTGTTATTTCTAACCGTTATCATTTTATTGGAGTACATTTGCCGACACAGTGCAAGGAACACGACTGGGTGGGCTGCACACGTAGGTCACACAACACAACACTTACAGTACGCATTTTGGGATTCAAGGAATTAAAGGAAGACACAAACTGATTTGTCACATGAAAAGTCCAAAAACATCTTTGTTATTACTGCATAATTTGGATCAAGAATTTATAGATTTCCCCGACCCGTCGTTCATATCCACATTGCTTTACAGTCTGGTCACGGCGTAAAGAAATGTATGGTGTTATGGAGGGTCTCTTTAGGGATGATTAGTCTCACGCTGTAGTTTACACCCTAACAGTGGCGGCTTCACTACGAAGCCATAAATTAAAACAGATGACTCATCCAGCACCTGCAGACTAAAGCTGTGGGGATTTATCAAGATCGTCAGATTTACACACCCGGCCGATATATACCTCGACAATAAATCAG